TTATTTTTGTGCTGCTACCTTCGATCCTTCCTCTCCTTGTTCCTTAGATAGTCGCTCTTTGTAGTTTTGATGGTATTCTTCAATCAGAAGCGCAGCCAAGATGTACATCTTTTTGAGACGAAGACAAGGAGCTGCTTTCTTGCGCTCGTCTTCTGCCATCTGCAAACTTTTGAGCAAATTAAAATGAAAGACTCTTCAAATAACGAACCCTGTAAACAATCCGTGCTCCATCCAAATATTTATGCGCTCTTCTGTAGAGCTGGACCGCTGCCAAAGATCGTTCACTGCTCTCATTCAGTTCTTCCACATATTTTCCCATCAACACGTTCACATCTTCAAGACTGTGAGTTCGAGAAAGCGAAACTGCCTACATCAAATCATTTTGAGTTTGATGATGATGAGACTGCAAAATAACCTTGTCCCAATTATTGAGCTGTATGCAAGTTTGAAGCGCATTTGAAACTTGATCACATCGAAGAAAACATTGTACAGCTTGCTCACATAGTCCTGATGAAGCAAAGAGCTCAGCGATTGTCTAAAATCACATTTTCTAAAAAGGATTTTTTACCAATTTACTAAATCTTGATTACCGCGAGAAGAGGATGATTGTCTGGCAACTGACGGGCAAGATTTTCAAGGCTAGCGAAATCATCTAAATGAATGTAACAAACTACAAGTTCTTCAAGCTTTTTCGCGAGCGCATAATGATCAGCAGCTTCTTTCCTAAAATTGAGAATTTTTTCATAGTAAATCGGGGATAAATCTCTCCTAACCATCGTTGCCTGTCCCGGTGATAGTCAGCCACTTTGAGTAATGCTTCTGTTTTTCCTTTATCGCTAGAACCACCCTGAATTGTGCTAGTCAGTCTTAGCACACGTAACCACTCCTCCGTTTTCTTATGCATAGCAATAGCCAAATCCCTGAAATTTTGTAACTAGAATCTATGCCAACTCTAAAGCAAGACTTAGAAAAAGCTTGCCTTCTATCCTGGTCCAAGTAGATTTTCTCAGCCTCTGCCATCTTTCCTAAATGGACAAAAATTTCTGCTCTCTTTAGCTCACGATCCTATAAAAAAAGATAATCATCAGAGCGAAATTCAATTCTGAAGAAAGAGATTCCTCCGAAGCATTACCTGGATCTCCACAATTCGCTTGCAGAAGCGCAAACCGCTATAATCGTGCAGTTTTGCCTAAACGCAGTCTGTGTTACTAATTTTGCGCTCATAGACGTTTGAACACTTACATAAGCGTACTCGGCCGTTGGTATATCCACTTTTAGAAGCGCAACTTCGGCAAGTAGACTCCTATAATTTAT